CTACAGGGAGCAGAGCAGGAGTCACTACATGGTGTCTGACTGTAGCATCATGCCAGCCTGCAGCATCATCTCCCTGTGCCATGGCTGGCTGGCTGTGCTGGACATAATTCAGCCCCCAGCTTGTGGACACTCAAAACCTCTCCGTGCAGTCTTCAGGGCTGGGCAGAGGCTGAGATGGCAGCACAGCCCCTGCATGCAGTGCTGGAAAGGAGTCAGGCAGGGAGGTGGGTTGGGCCCCCCAGGAGATGTACCCTTCCCACAGGACAGTGGGGACAAAGGAAGGTACCCTGTGGTGTGATGAACAAGCTGCACAGTGGGTTGGGTGCTGCCAGGCACGTTCACAGTTTCTACCATAAAATCCCTTCGTAAGGCCTGTCCATCTAATGCTGCCTTGATCTGATTAGATGCAGCCTCCCTCCAAAGCCAGCATTACCTGGCAGGTGGCGGCACCTCATCCCCGAGTGGGGAGGCAGTGGTGAGGCTGAGCGTGATCAGGGGGCAGCGGCTCAGCAGGAGCACAGCGGTGCAGCCCCGGGAGCAGGCAGCAGGCAGCCCCCCTCCAGCAGCACCATCTGCCAGGCCCGCGGCCGGCACAGGCTCAGGTGTGCGGGGACAGTCCTGGAGTGCCGCCCTTCCCCGGGGTGGGTGATGTGCGTCGCGGCAGGGCTGGCTGGAGGAGGGTGGGGATGGGGGTGCCTTCCCCCCACCGGGTGCTGCGGCTGATGTATGCACTGCTCTCTTCTCCCTGGCAGCACCTCGAGGGAAGCGCGGCTGGAAGTCCTTCCATGCCATCCTGAAGGGGATGATTCTTTACCTGCAGAAGGTAGGTAGCAGCAGGGCTGCCCACATCCATGCCAGGGAGAGGGATCATCCCCAGCCCAGGAGGGAGGTCATGGCAGTTCCCACAGCAGCATTGCAGAGCCTGGCCTAAGCAGATTCCACAATGTCTGGTTGAGCTGTTGCTCGGGACCTGGTGGCATCCCTGTTCTGGGGGTGCTCGGGCTCAGCCTGGGCAGTGAAAGCAGCTGCCAGCTGAGGGCCCTGAGTGCAGGGGCTTGTCTGGGGATAGAGGAGGAACCGGGGTCTTTGCCCTGGGCAATGTGTGGTGCTGCAGCTCCAGTTTCATGCAGGCACAAACTTGCCCAGCTGTGGGGCTACGGGGAACAGCCACCATGCTGTGGCCAAACCCATGCACCTGGGCTGTGCAGCCTCTCCGCATGTGTGTAGCATGAGCTGCAGACAGAGCTCACAGCACCTCTGCTGGAGGTGCTTGCCTGCCATTCCTGCAGTGTCACAGAGCTGGCTCATGATGGGGTGCATCCCTAAGCTGGCTCTGAAACACCCTGTGATTCGCAGGAGGAGTATAAGCCAGGGAAGGCTCTGGCAGAAGAGGAGCTGAAGAACGCTATTAGCATCCATCATTCACTTGCCACGCGGGCATCCGACTACAGCAAGCGACCCAATGTGTTCTACCTCAGGACAGCTGACTGGAGGGTCTTCCTCTTCCAAGCACAGTGAGTTCCTCAGGATCACCAGCTGGGCCACACGCTGGGGCGCAGGGGCTCATATGACTGAAGGGGTGGGTGGGATTGACATTGAGGCTACATTGCTCTGTCCTGTCCCTTTCTAGAAGGAAAGGGAGTCACTGTCAGCACTGTGCTTTGCTCAGCTCCTCTTCTTCCCACCCTGATGGGCTCATGATGGCCCAAGTCACTGTGGGCAGAGCCCCAGGTGCTGGCTGGCCAAGGGCCAGAACTGAGGAGCACGGATCTTATGCAAGGCAGCTCCCTCTGCCTGTGACATAGATGGTGCCACTTAGAGCTCCTTTGTGCTTTGACCTTTGTTCCCAGGAACCCTGAACAAATGCACTCGTGGATCACACGCATCAATGTGGTGGCAGCCATGTTCTCTGCACCCCCCTTCCCCGCAGCCATTGGCTCCCAGAAGAAGTTTAGTCGCCCGCTGCTGCCCAGCTCCTGCACCAGACTGTCCCAGGTGAGCCATGGGGTGAGGAGCATGGGGCAAGCCCCCTGGATCTGCTGGTGGCACTGTCCCCTGCAGAGGGACCCATATGGTGCCCCTTGCCCAGCTGCCTCTCAGCAGGGTGCAGGGCTGGGGGAGCATGACCATGGAGACACAGAACAAAGGGGTGCTGAGTTTGTTGGGGGTGGCAAGGTCTTGTTCCTGACAGCAGGGGTGGGAGACGGGCAACGGAGTCAAGCCTTGGAGGAGAACATGGTCCCACAACACGGCTCGCAGGGTCCTGCCAGGACCGGGACCTTGAGAGGCCGGGGGATTAGCTGGCGCTCGCATGTGCCAGGGCAGTTATTCATAGAGCAGAAAGGATTAAAAACACCAGCCTAGTTTTAGAGAGGATTAAATTCTTCTGCTTTAAGACTGCAGCCAGCCCCCAACGAGGCAGGAGCAGATTGCACCCAAGGGCCTGTGCTTTTGCCTGCCCTTAACAAAGGAAAACAAAACAAAACCCAACCCAGGAGCAGAGGCTGAGATCCTGGCTGCACCTAAGAGGGGAAAAACCTGTTCTGGTCCTGGCTGTTCACACTACCAGAATGGGGGAAGAGCAGAGGGCAGAGGCAGGGCACTGACATGGTGCCACCCTTCCCCAGGAAGAGCAGGTGAAGAGCCACGAGACTAAGTTCAAGACGATGTCAGCAGAGCTGCTGGAGCATCGTACCTCACTACCTGAGAAGAAGGTGAAGGGCAAGGAGTATGAGGAGTTGAAGCAGAAGGAAGAGTACCTGGAGTTTGAGGTGAGCTGGGAGACACACACACACACATCCCACTACCCTCAGCCCCTCTGTCCCTGTCTGCTTGGCCATCCTGAGTGATGGGACTCTCTCCCCCATCCCCACCTGCTGAATTGCACCATGCCACTGCTATGGTTCAGGACCATGAGCATCCCCCCCCACCCAGGAATGCTGGCTGGTGTGGAGGGACCACAAGTATCCCCTCGCTATCCTGGGGTGCTGGCTGAGCTGGCCCAGCTTCCCAACCCCTCTTTCTGCTGCACTGTGCCCCCAGAAATCCCGCTACGGCACCTATGCCATGCTGCTGCGGGCCAAGCTGAAGGCCGGCTCCGAGGACCTGGCAGCGTTTGAGTCTACGCTCTTCGATGCAGCGGGTGGGGAGGATGATGGTCTGAAAAAGTCCCGCTCCAGCCCCTCACTCAACGTGGAGCCCTCCAGCACGGCCACCAAGGTGAAGCGCAACATCTCAGAGCGCACCAGCCGCCAGCCCCCCTGCCATCCCCAGAAGTCATAAGCGAGGGGCATCGGCCACCCGCACTGCAGCTCCGTTTCTGCCCCCCGGCACCGGGGTGGAGGCCACGTGCCTGCCAAGATCCTGCATGAGCCGTCCATCTGGGCTGCGTGCTATGCAGGCACCAGCCTTGCAGGGCCTCTGCCAGAGGTGGTGGCAGAGCAGGACAGTCCCTGATCCTCGCCTGCGGGAGCTGCCCACTCTCTCAACCCCATCAGACTTGGTCCTCCCCCTCCTTGTCCTGTGTGTGGTTGCAGGAGCTCATGCCGATGACAGGGACCAACTGAAACCCACCCACTGGGCTCAATTCTTCAGTGGTTTAAGAAGTCCAAAATGCAGCAAAACAAAGCCAACGGCCGCTTCTCCTCCAGCCCCATTGTGCCATGGGGGGCAGACAGGAGGGGGCCAGCTGTGGCCTCTCCCCTCTCATGGGGCTGGTGGCCAGGGGCATCAGGGCAATGGCACCTGGCCCCCTCCCTGCCACCTCTGCACCCTCCCCGCTTTCTTACAACTTTTGACTGATTTTTGTGATACAGTTTTGCACTTTTTAGTACCAGACTGAGCTGACCACCGGGGAGGGTTTTTTGGGGGGCTACTTTTGATGCTTTTGGGGAACTATTTGAACAAAAAACCAAACAAGCCACAAACCCAGCCATGTCCTGTAGGCACTGCATTCTGGGGGGCAGGAGATTTTTACATGGACTCAGGGGGAGGCCCAGCTCCCCATCCTGCAGCAAGGTGAGCATGGGCTCCTGTGTGTGTTGCTGCCTGCTCCCCAGCCCTGCTTTGGCACCAGCAACCCTTTGGAGATAGCCCTGCAGTTGCCGGCAGCCTTGGGATGGCATCACCCATTGTTGCACTTGTGGCTGCATGGGAGGCTGATGCTCCCATACTTCATGACCCGCCCCCCAAACCCTGGCAGCTGGACCAGCCCCATTTGTATCGCCTGGGTGTGAGCATCATACCCGGGGCACACTGGGTAGCAGTGTATGTACTCCCACAGGAAGTGACCCCTGACGCCAGGGTTGACTTGAGGGTCCTCACAAGCCAGCTTTCCTTGTCATGATCCTCCTCCAATGCATGGCTGGGGTCAATGCATGCCAGCAAAGCCTGGTCCATAACACTGTGCAGTCCTCGTGCTGCAACAGCAGTGGTGCAGCCCCTTCCTTGGCCATGGGCTCCCTCCTTGCCAAGGTGAGGGCAGGCTGGGGCAGTCCGCAGCACCCCAGGGGCTGGAGGATGCTTGGCTGGAGCAAGGTGCTGACGGTGCAGCAGGACCGCAGGAGTGCCTGGGGTGTGCGCGGAGGGGTCTGGGGACAGTGGAAGGGCTGCGGGCAGGGGGCTGGCACATACACACTGTTCTCAGCCACCCAGGACCCGGCTGGTTTCAGCACTGACTTTGCGAATGTGTCAAACTTTTTATTCTGCTCTTTTAAGTCTATTCCAAAAAAAAAAAAAAAAAAAAAGGAAAAAAATATAGAACAAGGAAAAAAATCCACCCTTGCCCCAGGCGGCTCAAGGGGGAGAAAATCCTTTGTACAGCTTCTTCTCTCAGTTACTTCAGTAAAACTTGCTCTTCACTTCTTGTGTGCGCTGTGGTTTCTCCCCCATGTCTGGGGACAGCCCCAGCATGGAGTGATGGTGAGGAGGCAGCCTCCTTGCTGCCAGGGGTTAGTGCCCATGGGCTCAGGGCCGCGGCTGGAGAGAGGGAGGGCACTGGCTAATGGAAACAGTGTCCCTTTATTCAGAAGAGGGACCATTAAATAAGAGCAGAGAAGGGCAGGAGCCAGCTGTGTCCTGAGCCAGCTGTGTCCTGCCCCCTGAGTCCTGGCAAGTCCAGAAGGCACTTGTGTTGGCAGGGCTGGGGAGGGGAGTGATGCAGACCCCCAGGTGGATGTAATGGCTGCCGGCCCCTCAGTGCACTTGCGGCTGCTGGCTGTGGGGCAGCTCACCCCCCGGCTTCAGGGCCAGTGTGGGTGCCTGCTCCTCCTCCACCGACTCGCTGCCATAGGCACTGTCTTCCTTCAGCTCTGCAAAGCAAGCGCCAGGTGCTGTCAGCAATGGGGAATTGGAAGCAGCATGGAACACCCCCCAGCCCTGCATTCCCCTTACCTGTGCTTTGCAACTTCTCCAGTGCCTCAGTTTTGTGGAGCATCCTCACGGCCTTGCGGAGCCCCATGGAGTCCAGCGCCTCCAGCAGCCCCCCCAGGCTGCCCCCCGCCAGCTGCAGAAAGAAGGCAGAGTAGGGCCAGTGGCCATACAGGAGGGACAGAGGCACCCTGGTCAGGCACTGACCTCGTAACTGCGCAGGAGGCTGACACTGGGCGAGGGGGTGTCCTTGTAGGTCTCCACCAGGCTGCAGAGCCCAAGGCGCTTGGCCAGCTCGATCCAATCTGACCCGCTGCAGTCCTGGTTCAGCAGCTGCTCCAGCCCCTGGAGCGCCTCACTGTCCAGCGACAGGACCTTCCCTGTGCGGGAGATGTTCCTTCATCACAGGCTGCCCGTCCTCACTGCCAGGCGGGTGCTGCCCCGCCTAGGAACAGTGCTTTTGGGGGGAGAGGGGCCGCTCACCTGGCTGGGGGGCTGTGGGCAGCTCTGCCGTGGGGCTCTGCTGGGAGGCCTGCAGCAGGATCTCCCGCACCTGTGGACAGGCAGAGAGATGTCAGCATCCCCCAACACACCAAACAAGCCCCTCTTGGCTTCCCACACCACACCTCTCCCCAGGACATGGAAGGGTGCAGGTATCCTTCCAGGAGCATCTCTTTGTCCTCTGTCCCATTTGTGCTTTGGCCCCACAGAAACGCTCCCAGGGGTTTGTCCCACCATGACACACACCTTCTGGCTCCGAGTGAGGTCCAGGGGTGCGTGGCAGCGGCGCAGCCTGTGCCCTGCCTGCCCATGACCCTGCACAGGGGGCTCGGGGTTGGTGCTGTGCTCCACGGCTGGGAGCAGCTCCCCCAGCTCCATGGCCTGCTCCTGCTCCTCGGAGTCGGCGTCCGTGTCGCTGCTGGCCTCTGATGAGGACGGGCTCACGGGCTCGTCATTCTCACACAGCACATCTGCCCCTGTGAGGGAAGGGTGGACTGAGCCCCCCGCAGGGGAGGTCGGCCCAGGGGCCTGGGCACCCTGCAGTGCAGGGAGAGGAGGGAGGGCAGCACCTTACCGGCTTTGAGGAGCAGCTTGGTGAGGGTGGGGGAGCCCAGGCCAGCAGCCAGGTGCAGGGGGGTGTTCCCGGCAAAAGTCCTTCTGTTGACATCTGCTCCCAGCTATGGAAGTACAAGGTTCTGAGCACAGGCTGCCTGGGCGCAGTCCCCTGCCACCCATGTCACCCCAAGATCCCAGGGCACCCCCCTCCTTCTGCCAGGGCCCTGCAGGACGCTGCACTTCATCCCAGTCCTACAGCCACCAGCCCCATACCTTCTTCACTAGGTGGGTGGCCATGTTGAGGTTCTCCATCTCCACAGCCAGGTGCAGAGGGGTTCTCCCACCCTGCCTCTCCACAGCATTCACATCCGCTCCCTTCCTGACCAGCAAGTCCAGGCAGGCCAGACTCTTTGCCTTCACAGCCAAGTGCACAGGGAGGAGGCCTGCAACAGGGGCAGAGGCTTAGCAGGTCCCCAGCCGAGCCCACGACAGCACTTCCAGGCTTCTGCCCATCATCTCCAAGCCCCACTCACCATGGAAATTGGGCAGACAGAGCAGGTAAGGGGCAGCCGAGCCCAGGTGGGCCAGCAGTGTCCTCAGCACCTCCTCATCACCAGTCTGGAGTGCCAAGTGCAGCAGGGAATTGCCGTAGCGGTCCAGCAAGGTGGGGTCAGCATGGGCTTGCAGCAGGAGCTGGACCACCTGGGGCTGCTTGGTGACGACTGCCAGATGCAGTGGTGTCTGTGGAACAGCAGCACCCCTCAGTATCGCTCACAAGAGGAGCTGAGTCCTGCACCAAGGTCCTCACCACCAGTGCTGCACTGTGCTCAGCCCTGCAGCCTCCCTTCAGTGAGAGCAGAAGCAGGACAGGGTGTTGAAATGGGAGAGAGCCCCAGGTAGAGAACCGGCTGCTCTGGGAAACATGTACCTGCTGCAGGTTGTTGGAGATGTTGATGATATCCAGGCTTGGTATGCTAACAACCACCTCAATCAGCTGCTTGATCACAGCTGTCTGCTCATGGATAACAGCAAGGTGCAAAGGCCTGCAGAGAGAGCAGGATGGCCCCTGGCTCAGCTCCATGCTTCTCCAGGTCCTTCCTGCTACCTCCCACAGCCCCCATAATGGCTCTAATAATGGCCAACAAGGCTCTAACACTCTCTCCCCAAACCCCTTATGTGCTTACGTGTCTCCGTTCTCATCCTGTGATGCAGCCAGGTGCCTCTGGACTGCCAGCAGCACACGGGGGTCAGCGGTGACAGAGTAGTCAAGCAGGGCATGGGCATTGCGATGGGCCAATGCCAGCATCCACAGCTGGCAGAGCTGGGCTGGGGGGCAAAGCAGGACAAGAACATCACCTCCAGGAGCAGCGCCCCCCTCTACCCTCCTGCATCATCCCGGCACATGGAGGAGAGTGATGTCCCTGACCCATGCCACCTCTCCCGAGCGATGTCCCCCAGCCCTCACTCCACCCCAGCCTCCTCCTACCGTGCTTCTGCAGCTCCTTGCAGTATGTGCTCTCTGCAGGCACCTGCCCGTTGCTACCAGGCCCCTCTGCCTCGGGGCCCTTCATCTGCACACCCCCCTGGTAGCCCCCCACAGGGTGGGGGCCAGGTGAGTAGATGCTGTTGTAAGCCAGCCCCGGGGAGTAGGGGAAGCTGAGGTTCCCGCCTATGGAGCAAGGGGAAGGATAGGTGAGGCCGGAGAGGAGCAGGGAACCCCCAGGGCTGGGCTACAGCCACACAAGCAAGGAAAGGGAAGAGCTGTCCCCACTCACCTCCTCCAGAGCCAAAGCCCCCGGCCCCACCACCAGCACCCCCCATGTGTGAGCCCCCACCAAAGTGCTGGGGAAACTGAGGTAGGACTTTCTTGCGCTTCCTCTCCACTTCTTCTTTATCTGAAGAGAGAGGGGCAGCAGCGTAAGGGGCAGCCCTGGCAGTGGAGGGCACGCTGGCTTGCCCCGGGGGTGCTCACCTTCCACCACGGGGTAGTAGGTGAACTGCTTGGAGTCACTCACGTCCCCTCCCCGCTTCCGCTTCAGCTGCAGGAAGACGGTGACTGGACGGTCGATCTTGGGCTTGTGGTACGGGGGTGTGCGGAAGACAATGGCATACTGTGGGCAGGACAGACAAACATGGGGTCTTGCTCCTCCCTGGAGCTAGGGATGGGGCTCCTCTACCCCATAGGGCACCCACCTGCCCTGCGGAACGGCAGGACATGCCCCCACCTTCCCTGTACCTGCTTGTGCACGTCAGTGGGGGAGAAGTCTCCAAAAGCCTGCCAGCCGTTCTCGTCATCCTCATAGAAACGCACCTCAATGTCATCTGGGGAGAGAAGAGGTGCTGGCACCACTCATCTCCCCACCCTGGCCAGGCTCTGGGAACATGGTCCACTGCCCTCTCAAGGGCCCTGGATCTCTCCTGCCATGGCCCCTTTGAAGGCTTCAGCTGTGGGGAATGGCTTTTACCTTTCTGAACTTTATCGCACAGCAAGTAGACCTCATCCCCACCCCGAACGGAGCCTGCTGTCTTATCCATCCGTGAGATTTTCAGGTTGGAAGCTCCTGGGGACTCTGTAGTGCAAGAGGAGGCATTGGGAGCTGCTGTGGCAGACAGAGCACCCCTCATTACCCCATCCTGCCCCATCCCCTCCCCAGCTCACTGCTGTCATGGATGGGATCTGAGATGACAGGCTGGAGGGCCAGTGTGAAGTTCCCGCTGCTATCACGAAGGTAGGCAGTGAAGCGCAACCGCACAATGCTCAGGTCCATCACCTTCTTCAGCTCCTTTGCCTCCAGCTCAATCTCACGCAGCTCTGCTTCTGCCGGAGCAGGGGAAGATGCCCTCAGGCTTAAGCAAGGGGATGGGGCTCTATGTCCCCCCCAGCCCCATGCTAAGCCCAGCTGTCACTCCCAGGTGCTGAGTCCCACTGACTGCCCTTACCCGTCAGCATATGGCTCCTGTTGCGCATTTTCTGCTGCTTCAGCTTTTCCTTCATGATCTCCATCATATTCTTCTTGGTGACATGGAGCACTCCCAGGTTGCTGAACCTGGAGAAAAAGAGGGATTTCGCTGGGATCTGGAAGCGCCAGGGCTGGCGCACACAGGCTCCCACAGCCAGGAAGGAGCTGAGCAAAGCACAGAGTAACTGCTGCTTGGGCAGCAGGGGATCAGTGTGTGCAGGGCATAAGAGAAGCAACCACAGAGGAGAGGAAAGGAGCCCAGGAAAGAGGTGTGTAGTGAACTCTGGGTTCCCACACGTGACAAGTCCAAAGAGGAGCACCAGGAAGGCTGGGCGCCAAAGGGATGCAAAAAGGACAAGGCTGTCAGCAGCCAGGGCTAGATTTCTAAGAGCAACTGCAGCAGCTACTGAATAACCCTGTGATGCAGACTGGCCACAGCAAAACTGGGGAGCTGCAACCCCAAGGACAGAACCCCACAGCAAGCTGCACATGCTGGACCCAGGGCTCTGCAAAATGCCCAGGGAACAGAGTTGCACTGATGGCCTTGTCTAAACCTACTCCTGTCCCTATCCAGCAAACCCAACTCTATGCACTAAACCCCTTCTTCTCCCCAGCAGCAAGCTGCGACCAGTCCCAAAACCAACCCTCATAGGCAAGAGGCTATCCCGGGTCTCCCTCAGACGTACTGAGCTGTCATATCCTTGGGTCCCACGATCGTGACGCAGTTGCCGGCCTCATTGCACTGCTTGCCCACCAGGCTGTGGGCATGCACACGGGGAGGGTCGCTGTGTGTCACCAGGTCCACCTCAATCCGGGCCATCCCCGTGTAGTTGCAGATCTGCAGGGAGAAAGAAGATGCGAGTCAGGTACAGTACCCCAGGAGCCTGCAGGACTCTGCAAACCCCTCTCTGCTACTTATCAGCAGGGCCACCACTCCTCCTGCTGCAGCCCTCCCATACCTCCAGTGCCATAAGAAACAAAGAGCTTAATATACATTTCCTGTCCTCCCTTCAAGGCACCCTCCCGGTGCCTGTGAACACCAAATGAAGATGCTGCCCTGTCCCCTCCCCAGGGCAGTGCTCACCTTGACAGTGGGATAGGTCTTGCGCCCCTTCTCACTGGATGCTCCCGGCAGCCCTCCATGGGAAGGGCCCTCACAGCCATACCGAAAACGGAACCCCCGCTGCAGAGGCAAAGAGGAGGTCAGCCAAGGGTGGCCTACAAGAGCAAGGGGAGACAGCTACACCTGCCCTTGCTTGGGTGACGTCCTTACCTGCTTTGGCTGCTCGATGATGACAATGTAGGGACCTTCCACTACAGGACAGAGAAGAGGCACCAGTGAGAAATACATGATAACCCAAGTGCATGCTCCCAGTAAGGATGCTGGAGGTATGGGGATGGTGTGGAAGGTTAGGTGACCCCTGTCTCTCCCAGGGGAGTCCTCAGAGCCCCCAGCCCCTGTGCTGTCATAGCCCAGCCGGGAGTAGCAGGCAGAGCAGCAGGAAGAGGAGGGAAGGGCCAGAGGATGCTCTGGCACTTGGGGAGCACCTGAAGACCTGTCACAGCCCAACCTCAAGTCCCTGGTAGACTGAGCAGCAGGAAGAGACCCCATTCCGCTGGCACAGGGCAGGGATTCCCAGCCAGCCCACAGTGGGGCCAGCAGGGACACAGCCCGTGGTGTTGCTGGGAACTAGGAGACGTGACTCAGCCTGCTGGGAAATCCCTCTGCAGCTGGGGACCCCCGGGAGGGCACAGATAAAGGGGCCCTTACCTGTCTCCATCAGGGGCTCCTTCTGCTCCATCATGTGGGAGCCGAAACTGAAGTCATCATAGTCAATCCCATCCAGGCACTGGGTGGCAAGAGGGAAGATATGTGAGATGAGTGTGCCAGGGCTGGAAATCCCAACCATCCTAGGGGGCAGGTACGGACCCCCATCTCCTGCCCTGGAGGGGAGAGAGTCTGTCACAGACTCCCACTGCCCACCTTGGGGAGATGGGGGGGGCAGGCACAGCTCTCCCGTCTCCCCCGGAGAAGAGGGGTGGGCAGGTGCCAACCCCTCATTGCCTACCCCTGGGGCCACCAGCAGACCTCCTTTGCCCAGCCTGGGGACAGACACAGACGCCGCACCTCCCACGGCAGTGGCACCTGCAGACCCCCCCTTGCCCACCCCGGGGCACGCACAGTCGCCCGCCTCCCACCGCACTCGTGGGGTCGGGCACTGCTCCAGCTCAGCCCCGATGCCGGGGCCAGGCAGAGCCACCCCGCCCCGGCCGGTCCGCACCGCACTCACTGGCTGGAAGTGCTCGTCCATGTCTGCGCGGGACCGGCCGCCGGCCTGCGGGGAGAGCGCGGGGTGAGCGGGGACCGGCGGCGGCAGGAAGGCACCGCCGCTCCGGAAAGTCCCTAGAAACCCCGCCGAGCCGGGAAATGACGGGACCGCGCGTCACCGCCCCGCCCCGCACGGCCGCGGCCCGGGCACGGCTCGGCGGGGCACGGCTCGGCTCGACACGGGGGCACGGTCGTTCCTGCGCCCGCCGGGGGAGCTTTGGGCTCCGGGCGGGCTGGAAACCCCGGTGCCCGCCCGCCGCGCCGGAGGTCCCAAGTTTCCGCCCGCCGTCCCCAGCCGCCTGCCACGCTTCGGGCACCAGTCCCGCTCACAAGCCGTTGCGCCGATCCCAACAAGACCTGTAGTGCAACGCAGCTGAAACGACCCGGACTGCGCCATAAAAACCTGGCAGCTGCCCCGGGGGCCTCCCGGGTCCCTGTATCGCATCGTCTCACCTCCGGCACAGGGATGTCTCCTCCAAGCTGACCTGGCACCAAACAGGAGAGGCTGCCCCAAAGCCAGCCGTCCTGCCCCCTGGCCAGGGGAAGCTCTCCAGGGCTCCGCAGACCAAAGTCAGCCCCTTGCCAGGCACCCAGAGGGGTCCTTTCCCGCTGCCCCCAGTTTCCACTTACGCAGCAGCCCCTGCATCCTTCCCGCGCCAGTAGCCTCAGAGAGGCATTTGCCGTTGGTGTTCCCATTCCTTCTTTCCCGCTAGGAAGCATCTGGTTTCAAAGCAGGAGCGGCAGCTCCAGAGCCCCCCGTGGGAGCATCTCCCGCCACCCAGCGCTGCGCGCTCCCGCCGACACTGGCAAGGCACTGCCAGCAGCGGGGCCCCTTCCCGACACCCACAGCACCCTCCTACTCACCGGGGAGGAAGAGGCAGGCCTCAGCAACCCATCCAGCCCCAGCATCGCGGCGGGGACTGCCAGCTACCACAGACAGGGGTCCCGCTGGGGTCAAGGTCTGCCTGGCTGTGGGAAATCACCAGAGACTTCTAGCAAAGGGGCAGGATCAGAGCAGAGCCCCCGGGCATGTTTTCTTGATCCACATTTCTTCTCGCTAAGTGATGGAAAGAGACAACAAACAAAAAAAAAAAAAAGAGAAAACCCCAAACTTATCCAACTCTGCAGTGCCCTCATACCATGAATTTCTGAATCAGTGGTTGCTACAGGTCCCACTCAGGGGATTTTGGGTGTGTGGGAGAAGAGGGGAAGGAAGGGGATTGTTCAATCCGTGCATGACTCATATTCTTCAGAAGCTGAAAAGAGCCTTTTCAAGAAGATTTTCCAGCCACTCAAGTCCTCCAAAGGGGCTGCCCTGCAGCCCTAGGCCTGAGGTTTTCCCCGGCTGGCTTGCCACCTGAGCCCAGCCAAACTCCAGGATGCATCCCAGCCTGCCTGCCAAATGCAGCCCAGACAGCGGTGCAGACTGGGACATGGGATCAGAGGGACCTGCAGGTGCAGCAGGGGTGCAGGAGGGTGCAGATCCAGCACTGCAAAATGAGGCGGGACATTCCTCCTGAAGTTCTGCAGGGGCTTCCGAAAGCCTGGGAACAGGGGACACAAGCTCACTGGCCTGTGGGAAGCAGCACGGACAGCCTGCTGTCAGGATCCCACAGGACATCCCGCCTGGGCAGCCTCAGCATGCACCACCAGCCAGTCACCTCATCTGCTGGCACAGATTTCCCAGAGAGGTGAAGGAGGGGACAAACATCCTCCCTCAGTGTGCTGGGAAAGCTACCTCAAACCCTACCCACTGAGCCTGGCTGGGGAAACACAGGACCAAAGATGCTGGAGAAGAGACTGTGCCCCTCGAACAGAATAGCAACCCTTCTCCAGTGCCATCAGCCTCATGCCCTCTAGACGGGTTTTCACAGCTCACTCATGGCTGCCCTGAACACTTCCACTTGTTGTAGCAAACAGCATGACTAAGGAACGCCACGGGTTCACATCTGCGTCTCCCCAGCTCCGCCTCACCCAGTACATGTTAGAGGAAGCCCACCTCGCTCGTCAAGCAGAGCTGGAACGTCATCACCTGCTTCCTTGTTCCTGGAAGAGTAACCTTAGGCAACCTCAGACTTACTCTCAAGGTAAGTCCTGCCTCCTGTGCCAAGTAGTCATGCCCTTCAGGCCCCCAGGACCCTAGGTTTCCCATAGGAGTAAAGCACACTTGGCTTTTATCCCCCACACACCCCAGAAGAGGACCCATCTTCCCCTCCTGCCATCAGTAGCATCCCATGCTCCATGGTACCCAGCGCATCTGGCCTCTACCCTGGGCTTGTACACACACTGCAGCCCTGCTTTGCTGGGCTAATTCCTCCCTATCTTCAGACCTTTCTAGGGCTCAGGAAGGATTCTCTGGCATTGCTGGGAACAGGGAGAAAAAGCAGCAACCCAGCTGTGATGCACTGCCTGAGGCAGCACCAGCTCCCTGCTCCAGAGAGCAGCACTGCCACAGCACCCTTCCTGGATGGTGCAGCCTGCCTGTGCCAGCCAGACTGCCTCAATTAAAGGCCAACCTTCGGCAACCAGCGTTAGTTAAAGCTGTTCTTCCATGCCTGCAGCTCCTTGAACGTGACCTAGTAATGCAGGTGCTATTTTCTCTCCTCCCGTGACAGCTGGCTGACTTGTAGAGGCAATGCCCTGCGGGCAGGAGGGAAATGTCGGTCTGTCTGTCTGCAGCAAGAGTGTTTAGCAGTCATGGGAAAGGGCAATCCAGGAGGCAGCACGAGCATGGCTCTGCTCTGAACCACCCTGGCACACAGCTGACATGTTCAAGCCACCCAGCTGGCTGCTCCTCTGACATACTATTCCCTGCACATTTTGTTTCCCCTGGGGCCTGCTAATGCCTGCAAATGATGCCCCTAAATACCTGACCTTGCTTTCTGCACAAATCCTGTGCTCTGCTCCATCCCAGGAGTCCCAATAGCTACTGGTAAGTGGCAAGAAAGAGGCTGCTGAATTCCTCTAGCACAGGAATTTTGTTCTTAGACCCTTCCTGGAAACCAAGTCCTTGACCTGCAGGCATGGCAGAGACAAATCCCCTCTCCCTGAAAGCTGTCCAAGCCTTCCCCTCCCCGTCAGCCTGCCCTTGAGCACTGATGCCATTTGTATCTTTCTGCATAAAATGCCTTTTATGCCTCCATGCATAAAATGCCTGTTGTGGCTATCAAGTTGGTTTTGGCAAACCCCAACCACCCACTGATCTGGTTTTCTCCTCTAGGGCCTGTAAATCAGCTGCTTTGCTGTTGTGTTCTGAACCATCGGCTCCAGTTGTGTATCTGTGCACTCTCAGAAAACCCCTCTCGGCATTTGCTGTCTCTCACTCTCCCTGGTTTCCACCCAGGGTATAACTGCAGTGCCGGCATTCAGGGCTCCTTTCTGGGTGTAGGTAGCTGAGCCTGAGGGTGTGGATCTCTTCCCCTTGAGGCAGGCAGCTAGCCAGCCCTCTCAGGATCAGGCTGAAATCAGCGTGAAGAGGGAGAGCCTCAGGATGAGGCAGCGTTCACTGGCAGCACGGAAACGGGAAAATAAGCAGCTTCGTCACTGGCAGGGAAACGGGTGTCAAAACCGGCGCCGAGACTTGCTTTCTCCTCCCCACAAGAAGACAGCAGATGTCTTTTCAGCCTGCCTCTTCCCAACATCTCCTCTCCCAGCTAGCCCCGGAGCCAGCTGAGAGGCAGCCAGGGACCAGACAGCCAAAGACCGGCGAGGCTGCCATGGTGAGTGGGAGTACAGGAGGTGCCGACGGCTAGCCACCGCAGAACCCTTGGCAAGTGCGGGCATGGACACTGAGGCTTTAAAGCCCAGTTTAAACCTCTCGACCTCCCGTTCTGCTTGGAATCTGGATACATCTGTGCCCAGCACGCACATCCCTAGAGCTGGATGCAGCTGCATGAGAGCGCGGGAGACTGCTGAGCACGACGGGCAGCCACCGCAGCACTCAGGCTCAGCATCCCCCGGGCCGGTTGACAGAACGCATACTCTCCTGATGCTAGCAGCCCCTGCTCACTGCCTGGCAGGCCCAGGGCTCAGCCCGCTCACCCCGGGACCGGTACCCCATGGGTAGCATCTTCGTTCTCCCCTTACCCGCTTACCTTCAGCCCGAGCACCAGCGCGGCTGCTTGGTCCTGGACGCGGCCCTGGGGAAGTCCCAGCGCGGCTCCGCCTCCCGGGGCTTCCCGGGGCCGGCTCCACCCCTGCGAGGACAGCAGCGGGAGGGGGGCCAGGGGACCCCGGGTGAGAGGGGACGTGCCACTGCGGGCTGCTGCATCGCGGTGAAATCGCTTGTCTTCCCCCTGCCCGACACTCACGTCTGTGCCCTGAGACCCGCAGGAGCCTTCATCCCCCATCCCTCTGGCCCACGGCCACTAAACCGGTCACCACCCCAGTCCTGCGCAGTGGGGAAGGACCGGCTGCCGCACCCTTGCCTGATTTTCACTTTTATTGTTGTAAATCCACTGTTCTCTCTTCATATATATATATATTTTAAACATATATTAGATATAAAAGTCATAAATGCTCCTCTTTGAACTACATATACTGGTAGATTTATAGGCCGATTTTGAAAAGGTGGGCAAATCAGGAAGCCCAACCTGATCGATGTGCACAGCAGCAGCAAATGCCCCTCTCCAGGGACAAGGGAAAATTTACATATATATATATATATGCATATGTATATATATATGTGTGGATCTATATACACACACACACATTCAGCCCCTTGCCCAGGACATCCCAGGCTGTGGCTGAGGCTGAGAGCAGGACAGGCTCCCACCAGGCAGGCGTGGGCCAGACTGAGCACTGTGAGAGGGACTGGAGGACGGATTTGGGAGTCCCAGCGGAAAGAGGCATGAGCTTCCTCTGTATCTACAGAACTGCTTCCCCTTTCTGTGCCTGCACACCCAGGGTGAGAGGGCTGGGAGGCCAGGGCTGGGGTGTGCAGGCTTCCCAGTGGGACTGCTTAGATTGGCAGTGCTATGCAGGGGAAATCCACTGCTCTGCAGGCGCTGCGCTTGCAGGACTTTCCCGGTGTCATGGTAAATGTGGAGACCCATTTCCTGACCTACCTGACCATCAGGGAGCACAGTAATGCTGTGGCCAGGAGGTGAAACCTGCCTCAGCAATTTTCCAAGCTGAAAAGAATGTGGGAGTCACTGACTGGAGGCATGGAAGGCCCCGAGCAGTGAGAGCCCTGGCTAGGAGCGCCTGTGTGGTCTAACCAGGGCTGCTGGTGTCATCCTGCAGCCGCACAAGGCACTACCCTTGCCTGGGCAGGCACACTGGCACTGCCATTGCCTCCTCAGAAAGGGAAAAGGCACTCTGGGTTTTTGGCTCCTCTGACAGTTGCAGCAGCCAGCTGGAAGGCTTGCTCTGCTGAACCTTAATCCTGTGGCCATGGAGGAAGGAGGAACAGTGATTTCCCCTTCTCCAGTACACCAGGATTGCGTGGTGAAGGGAGGGTGAGTCCCTGTTCCCTCACATTCCTTACAGAAGTTGCCTTTGTATGACTGCCTCTGACAGCCTGATTCAGACAGGGCAACCTCAGAGGCTCAGGGGCAGATCCTGACTCTGCCGACAGCAGCACCACGCTGGCACCCCTGCACCCCAGCAGGCGGGAACTGACACATTTAAGGCAGGGAAGTCACTGGAAGAGCCTGATTTGGGGGTCCCTACCGTGAGCCTGCCTCCTCTGGGGGTCAGGCCATAGCCAGGCTCTCTGCATGGCTGTGGATGTGGGCTGTGCTGGACACGCTGCTCTCCTCTTTGTAACTTTTGGGGGCCCGGCTGGCTTTCAGCAGGACCAGGAAGGTGTCTGTGGAGATGGCCCCAAACTCAAAGGTGAAGGTGCCATAGAAGACCAGAACATCGATGATGAACATCCACTCACACAGTGCAGCCACGTGCTGCAGCACGAAGCTCTCTTGGATGAAGAACACACCACCTGAGGGCATCCCAGTCAAGGAAAACACAGCTGGACCCCTACCATCCCATGGAGGACCATGTCCTGCTGTCACTGCATGCTGTGAGCAGCCCCATCCTCAGGAAACACACCACCGCCCCTAAACCCAAGAAACTCCCGATACTTCATGCAGTACCAGGAGGGCCCTGGCATGGGTGAGGCAGTGGCACACATGCCCAAACCAGCCTTGGTAAATCACGGGACTCATACCAGGCAGTGATTTTCTGAAGAGGCCAGGGCAGGGGGACCTCAGGGTGCAGACCTCAGGGCAAGCTGTGTGCCCACAGCCTCACCCTCCCCGCCCTCTTTTGTCAAATGGACTGATGCTCCCCATTCTCCTGCAGGATGCAGTTACAGCCAGTAAAACTCATCAGCCCTCCATCCTCTCGGCAAGGGGGTTTGGGCTGTTGCATCCCAGCCCTGCAGCACCCCTGTCCCTCTGCACTGCTGGCTGGCTCACCCCAGAGAGGGGACTCCTCTCTTTCCTCCAGGTCCTACTGCTGCCAGAGTCTCTCTATGCTTCTCTCATCACCACTGGGGATCTCTAGGGAAACTCATTGCCAGAGCCATGGGTGAGTGGAGAAGGGAGGTACATCCCCAGCCCTCCAGGTGAAGCCTCCAGCAGCACCCTGCCATCTGCCTGGCAGATGACAGTCTGGGAGAGCCTGAGAGGCAGGGACCTGACCTGCACAGGGTAGATCCCTCTGCCTACACCCCCCATCCCAGCAGGGGAGGTCCCAACCCTTTCACCACACCATCCCCACACAGCTCACTGCTTTCCCACTTCCATTCCCCAGTGCTTACAGAGCAGCATGGCCACAGCAGACAGGCACCAAGTGCAGTCTCCCTTGTCCTTACATGCCCTGCCGGTCCCTCCCAGCTGGCACGCCCCATAGCACTCCTGCCCTGCCCAGCTCCCTGCCCGCTTCCCAACCCGCCTGCCTGCTGCGGTGACAGAGCAGGACCTTCTGGCACATACCAGACCCACCAGCACCCTCCAGACTCCTCCTGCACTGCTCACCCTGGCCAGACCCCAGCCAGCCCCTATGGGACCTGTGGACACTGCACACATTTTTCCCTTCCTGCCCAATAACCACCACCTTGTTTCCCAATTTATCCCTAACCTCAGTCCCAAATAAGCCACTGGTTCCCCGGCTACACACTTGGGATATTCTTCCAGCCCTGCTGTCATGCCCTCCCTCCCTGATGTGGTGCTTGCAGACCCCAGTGCCTGGCTTCAGCCGTATTGGCAACTCAGATTCCACTCTGCACAGTGTGAGGCTGGAGCCTGCAGCAGTGGCTGGGCTGGGGTGCAACAGCCAGGGCAGGGCTGATTTAGGCACATCAGCACCTTGAGAGATGCCCGTCAGCGTCCCTTCCCCTCCTCAGCCCCTGCATGGCCCTGATACTGCTGCTCCCCAGCCTACACTTGCATGAGCAGCACGCCCTCAGCCCCTGCCCAGCCCCTCTCCTGCACAGTGCCTTGCTGCCAGACCAAAGATGGAGGACGTGGGGTGCATATCCCCCAAGGGGACACCTTTAGCCAGCTCATCCCAGATCTCCTCCCCATACCCCTCAAAAGGATACTGAAAACGAGGGTGAGGAAGGCCACAATGGTGAGGATGCTGCGTAAGTGGCCGGTCCAGTACTGCCCACGGGTTTTGGCCATGCGGTAGGTGAGGATGGACTGCAGGAGCAGGAACAGCATGCTGGTGGGAAAAGCCACCCCTGCCCCGATGTAGTGCAGCACCTTGGCATGATCCACCTGCAGGGGAAGAGACCGTCAGTGCCGGCACCCTCCTATCCTCCCCAGCACGAAATGGCTCTGCTCAGGGGGTGGGCTCGTGCCCCCGCAGGGGTGCAGCAGTGCCAGGGATAGGTCCTGGCAGCTCATCCTGTGCCCATCTCCTGGCTGAGGAGCAGATGTGGACGCGCCGTCCGCTGCTGAGATCTCAAAGCGCTCTGTTTGTTTCACCATGGGGTGGTAGCTCCTGAGCCCCATGGGCCAACAGCTCTACTGTGCCCAGGGGCATTGGGCAGGAGCTGCCCTGTGCCATCAGCAGCATCTAGGGCTGCCTGCACCCCTCCTGGGGGTCACAACCCTGCTGAGCTGAGCCACGGTTGCGGCACCGGCACACTGGGGCCAGCCAGAAAAGCTTCTCCGGGGTGGTGGTGCCGGCAGCAGCCTCCTACCAAGCGGAAGAGCCCGGATGCTGCAGGCGGAGGGCTGGCAGCTGCTGGGAGGCTGGTGGCTGGCAGCGCAGGCAGGGGGGAGCGCTGCCACCAGGCCCTGGGTGCTCCAGACACCCTGTGAGCACAGGCTCTGCCCAGACAGTTTCCTGGCATCACCCCCAGAGTAGATAACACCCACATGGAGGGCAGCAGGAGCACTGGCAGCTTGGCCTGGTCTCCTCTGCCTCGCTGGCATGTCCCTGCCTGCACAGGGTCAGGCATCCATGGAAGGGACAGACCACGCAGAGGGTCTCAGATAAGGTTAAACCAAACCCACCAGCTTAATCCAGACCCAAACCTATGAGTGCACAAAATGGACTCCCAGTGCCTGGGGAAGCACTGTGCTCGGAAGAGGTGAAGGAGTGCACAGATGGGACCAAAACAACCACCCCAAATCCTACACTGGTGAATGTTGCCCCTGCCCTGCTCCAGCCAAGACCCCCTCCTGCCCTGGGCCCCCCCAAGGTGATGCCTCACCTGGAAGTTGCCGACCATGGTGAGGCCAGCAGTGCAGACCCAGCCGGTGGCAAGCCCCAGGGTGTTGAGGAGGGACGGCCCGAGGCACTCCAGGAGGTGGGCATAGCGCAGCAGCCCCACCAGGATGACTGCAGGAGGGAGACACAGCCCCATCACACACCTCCGAGTGCATCCCCCTCCTCCTGCCCCCCGCCAGGCAGGGAACCTCTCTTCCAGCCCTGCTCCAGGCAGCAGGCACTTACCCATGAAGGAGCCCAGGCTGCAGATGAGGCTGAAGAAGCAGCTCTCAGGGGGCAGGGTGCCACACTTGCTGCGGGGACAAGGCAAGGCCCAGGAAGCTCTCAGCCAGGCAGCACTGGGGTGCAGCGCTTGCTCCCCCTACCCAGCACATGCTCCTGGGGGCTCTCGGAGCAGCTCTGACCCCCAACCAGCCCCACACTCCCACCCCCATGGCTGCTCACCTGACAAGGGGAATGTGGTCCAGTGTGCAGCAGGAGCCAGGGCTGTCCACGCCGCACGACTGATTGTAATTCCTGCCGGGATGAAAGGGACAGCTGGGAGAGACAAGCTGCTGCCTGGGACCCTCCTGTCCGCAGCCCCCACAAGGGCAACAAAGCTGCTCCCCAGCAGGTGCAGCCAGACCCCAGGGATGTGCCCGCACCCCAAGGACAAGTCCTTCCAGTGAGCAACCCGCAACCCAACAGGGTCCTTCGGGAACATCCCACCTGGGTTTCCACAGGCTGCGCCCTGCCTGCTGGCTTTGCTGCCCACCCAGTGTTCCTGCCTGCAAGGGAGCGGCCACAGTGGGGCAGGAGCTGCACATACTGCTGGATGCATGGGCTGGGGTGCTGGGCTCAGGGTGTTCCTGCAGCCCCAGGTGGGAGCAGGAACCAGGCAGTCCCATCACACACATCCCGGGATGGGAGCACGGGTGGAACCGGGCACGCAGCCACTGACGTTTCTGGGCTTGCACAGGACATGGGACAGGGAACGCCAGGCTGAGCAGGAAACAGCGCCCACAGCCATGAGGACCCGGGGCAGTGCCACCCTGCCCGGGAGCGAGGGAGCTGCCGAGGAGCTGGGCTCTCTGTCCACAGCCACTGCAGAGCCTGGGAGTGCCTCCTGCAGCACAGTCCCTGCAAGCCCGGGCAATCAGAGCTCCTGCCACCCTGAGACACCTTCCTGTACCACAGCTACTGCTGCAACCAAACTCCCCCCACAAGTACATGCCCCTTGCCCTCCCGGCAGCTGCCTCACACTCACAGTGGGTTTCTGGGCACCCCTTTGCTGCAGCATCACACAGGCAGACAGCACCTCTGCCTGGCACAGCTGAGCAGGACCCCCTTCCCACCCCGCAGGCAGGGAGCCCAAAGCCCTGCACCCCACAATGACCCTCAGACACCCCCTGCCCCACGGCAGGGACAGGACTGGGGGGCAGCACCACGCTCCCCTGGCTCAGGCTGACCCTCAGCCACCTCCAGCCGCCCAGCAAGCGTACGGTTAAAAGGGCCTTACTGGAAAGGGCCAGGCTGGGCGCTGGTGTTTTTTCAAGTCTCCTCATTTACTGGTGGCTTTGTTTTCCAACCACGAAACCCCGGCAAGGCGTGGAGCTCCGTGGCCCGCCCCAGGGCTGCTCCTGGGGCCGTGTTTGGTTTGGGAGGGATTTTTTTGTTATTATTTTGTTTCAAGCAGGCCGCCCGAGGCTGGAAAGCATTATTCATCATTAAGGCTGGCTGTGCGGCAGGGACAACCCGACACACATTCTTCCTCGGGCAGAACAAGCCATTAGGCAGGAAATGGCAGCAGGTCGTGTCGTGTCGTCCGTCCGTCCGTCCCCCCCTTCTCCTTCAAACACTCCAGAGAGAATTAAACTAACACGGATTTTTCTGGGCAGATTTTTAAGGAGACACAACAAGCCCAAAGCCCTGCAGCAGAAGCTGTCAGGAAAGCAAACAGTTGTGTTTTCCCCAGCCCTCACCTCTCCCATGCCTCGTCCCCCATCCCAGGGTACTGCAGGCAGCAGTACCCACAGGGGTACTGCCCCCACGGGGCGGCTGGGCTGTCCCGTCCCCTGGCACTGACAGATTTAGCCTCACTCAAGCAAGCCTCAACCTTTCCCATGGAGGCACACGGCCTCTGTAATTCCCTGACCACTTATTTCATACTTTCCCCGTGCTCTGTTTTTTCAACGGCCTCCTTCTCCCCGCCTGGTGTGCAGCGGGGTTCAGTGGAGCGGCTGTAACCGCAGGCAGGGGATGGATGGCAGCTCTGGGTAGCCCTGCCAGGCCCTGGCACTCTCACTGCTCTGCAGACGTGGGGTCCTACCCTGCCTGCAGCTAGACCCCAGGCAGCTCTGCTCCCAGCAGCCACCCAGGGACAAACAGGAGACGTGCCCTGGGGCTATTGTGCCCCATCACTGTCACCACCATGTCTGCCAAAGGGAGAAGGTGCTTCCTCTAAGATGACTTCTCCCAACATCCTCAGTCTCCTCCTAGGGCCAGCCTGGCCCCCAATCCCCCTTGCAATGTGGTGAAAGTGCAGGGGGGCCTTGGCTAGCCAGTGGTCCAGCACAGCACGGCATGGCTCATGGTCTGGAGGGGACATGGCATTACAGGGTCTGTAACCAAGCTGGTCCATGGAGAAGGGCCCTCACCACCTCCCCCCAGGCCTTACCAGTTGTGGACAGGGCAGATGTGGTTGTTGGAGAGCGCCATGGCATACCTGGGGACAGACAACAGGGATTACCACAGCCACCCACCTGCCTGCATTCCTGCTCCCAGCCAGCCTCAGCGCCCAGCCCCAGGGCGGGGTAGAGGGGTACAAGCCCCCACTGGGTGCTGGGGGCCAGCACTCACCCTGTGGAACCTCCCAGCTTCATAGGGCAGGAAAAAAAGCCAGACCAGCTCCAGCGAGCATCTCCCTGCGGAGTTGCCCTGCACCTGGGTCACTGCAACAGGGGCTTCATGACATGCATCCCACCCAGCTCCAGGGGCGTCTCGGCCCTGGAGCCCCCCCAGCCAAGCAAGGAGCCCTCCCACCTGGCAGCCCCAGCAGCGGGCAGCACCGCGCTGCTCAAATCACTGCCGCCAGCGGCCGTAAATGGCTCAGGTTAAAAATAGGCCCCAGCACCGGTAAGAAAACCCCTCTCCCGCCCGAGCCAGCCATGTAACAGCCAGGCCGCGAAAGGATCATCCTAGCAAAGAGGGGCAGGGCAAAGAGCGGAGCTGACAGGACTCAAGGGGCAGCGCTGCCCACCCCAAGGGTCATCCACCAAGAGCACCCCGCAGACCCCTTGCCCAGCCGCTTCCCAGCACAGATCTCCCCCAAATCCCTGTCCCAGTGCTCCGTGCTCTCCTGGAAGGGGCAACAAGCCAAGAGAGGCATAGCTGGCACTGCCCCCCACAGTGGGATGTGCTCCCACCCGCCCAGTCACCCCTCGTGGCCCTCACATCCCAGGTATGGCCAGCGGCAACCCCACATGGCCCCACGTAGACCCACAACAAGCTTCTACATGCAACTGCCCGGCTTCACCCTGCCACTGCACTAACAAGTGATACAGTGTCCCCCACTCAGCTGCAGGACATGTCTGGGGACAGAAGCAGCGCCCAAGACCCCCTCTTCCAGGGCAGCTCTGGCTGTGAGGGCTATAAGCAGCACCTCCCACCTGAGCTGCTGAGGGCTGGAGGGGCATCTGCTCCGCAGGGTCACCCATGGGAGACAGACAGGGCTTTGTGAGGAGTCCAGAGGAAACACTGGGAGCATGAGTACCCTACACCCGGGTCAGCATTTGGCTTTGTTGTGAAGCAGGATGGGGGATACCACAGGGAGAATCTCTCAGAGAGATCTGCACGGTCTGGGGTGTGTTTGCTCCATCCCACACTTCAAAAAGTCCCATCACCTATGCTGGGGCTCCCTGCACCTTTAGGAAAAGGTCCTCATCCAGCACCTGCAGTGGCACAGGGAGAGCAATGGTCTGGAGAAGAATAGCCCTATGTGAACAGCTGAGCTTGTAAAGCCAAGGCCCAGAGTAGGGACCAGCAGGGTGGCTAGTGATGCTCACCCAGGTGACACAGCCTCTATCCCCAGCACAAGGGACAGACGTCCCCTGCCCTCCCATCTATCCACCACATGGGGTGGGTGCCCTTGTGCTGGTTCCAGCCCTGGTGCTGCAGGACGCGGGCTGGTGGCAGAACTCCCAAGGCCATTCCTGTGCCCCACAAGCATCAGCTGTGCTCATGCTTGGATGGGGATGTGTGATCCTGTGGGGCATCAGGAGTGTGAGGCCAGGGAGCCATATGCCAGCCCTGGCTGCAGGGGATATAGGGTGGCTGTGGGGCACACGGAGGTGTGGGAGCGACCGAGCGTGCAGAAGTACCCCATCCTGATGCGGGCCCAGCAGTGCCCCGCAACGCCACACCCTGCTGCATCCCAACCTGAAGCATCATCCATCCCCCCGGCCTCAGCATCTTGTCCCGCAACATCCCGCCCGCAGCCCAGGCGTCTCCCGCCGGGGTTTTGCGGCCGGCTTGGGCCGTCCCGCGGCACTCACACGATCCACATGCCGGTGATGGTGAAGGCAGGCAGCGTGATGGGTAGGATCCCCCAGGCCGGCATCCTGGGGCCGGGCATGCCCCGCCACGCTACGGGAGAGCGGGGACGCCAGGGGAGCCTCCCCGTAGCCTGCTGCTGCCGGGCCGCCGCCGGGCCGCGCTCCCCATGGGCGGCCAGAGCCGCGCGGAGCCGAGCCCAGCCGTGCCGGGACAGCCCAGGCCGGCCCCGCCCCGAAGGCAGCGCGGGTCCCTCTCGGAGGGCAGGGCCCGCCCCGTCCGGCGGGAAGCAGGGAGCGGGCACTGGGACGTCCCGGACGGCCCCGGGCGCCACGTGGCGGCCGCGATCGCCGGCAGTCCCGGGTAGGCAGGTCTGGGACGTGCGAGCGCGCTCTGTGCCTTGACCCCCCGGGGCACAGCCGGGTGCAGGAACACGCTCCCGTTCGGCACCACCGCAGCAAACAGCTCTCCCTGGAGCTGCAGCCCCGAGCAGCCGCTGCCGCCTTTGATTCGGGCAGCGGGAGCTGGCTGCAGGGCGTTGCGGCCACCCCTCAGCCGATGCTCCCTCTGCCCGTGTCCGGGAGGGTGCGGGCAGCTCCAGCGAGTGTGGCCCAAAGGGCACTGTCTCAGTGCTGGGGTGAGCCAGGAGGTGACAGCCGGGCACCGAAGACCTTGCTCAGTCCCCTCTTCTTCCTCCCGGGAAGAGGATTAACACGGGCTCAGCCTTCCCTCCTGAGGACAAAGCCCAGTTTACTCCCTTGTCTCCCCTGACCTTATGCCCTCACTAAATGGCTAAGAGACATCTCAGGGCCCTCGCATCGCAAGCCACTTCCCACCTGCACCATGCCCTCTGCCTTCCCTGACACTCTCTACAAATGTCTCAATGAGGGGTTATATTTAGGAGCCACCAACGCTGCTGCCCAGAGAAATTTTTCGTGGAAAACTCGAGAAGAGGAAACACGACTTCCCCAGCAAGGCCGCAGCAGCACCACATCCCTATCAGCTAGGCAACAAGCCACCCTCCCAACCGGCAGCTGCTTGCAGGCTTGCTTCCAAATCCCAAAACATCCGGTGTAGCCATGGCCCCGGAGCGGCTGGTGCTCAAGAAGCCTGCGCCTTTCCACTGTCTCACGCCTGGGCACAGCACCAGCCCTGGCCCGCACGGGAGAGGAGCTCTGGGTGCCCACCCCCTCACCCGGGCCGGGGTTATGCAACCGGAGGAGTATTGCACACTGGGACTTGTAGTCTCGGGGGATCTCATCTTTCTCTGCACTGAATCACGCTCCAGGCAGCCTCCTCTCCGGCACCGGGTCTGTCCTTGCTGCTCAGCACATCGCATCCCCGACCTTCTGCTGCAGGAGCTGCACTCTAGAACTTTGCTCCGGAGCCGGCTGTGCTCCCAGAGCTGCCCCTGCACTTCGTCTGCTGGCAGACCCTCCCTTTCCCGGCAGCCACCCGGCCGCGGGGATAGGCGGTGTTGGGAACGCTGCCGGGCAGCGCAGGGCCAGCAGTGCAGCTGCTGCCGGCTCCAGCAGCCTCGGCGGCGCTCAGGTCGTGCTCGGCCAGGGGAGAGCTGCACAAACCCCGGCCGCTGCCTCCCGCACAGGGTGTGGGCGCGGGTGTGTGTAGGAGCGGGGCACCGAGCTGTGGGGATACTTCAGGCCCTGTAACGGAGGAGCGCAACAACTGGCACTTGTAGGAGTGAGGGTAACTGCCGAAAACATACTTCACACAGACCAGGTCTTCTAAGTATGCTCAGATTCATTTTAAAAATTGAAACTAAAGGCAGCATTGATTCACATGTTTCAATGCCAAATCTGCTTTAAATCCAGGGCTTATCGTTCCAGAGGGTTTTCTCTCACTAGGACGCTTCACATCAACGAGGAAAACACAAGCTCCACGTAGCACGTCCTGCTAACACCCACTAAATGCCAGTACTTCTTTCTGTTCTGTTTCAGCAATGGAAGTTCTTCATGTAAATAGGAATAGAAGGGGTATGTAAATCCAAACTACACTGATGTCTGTCCAGCCTCCTCTGGAAAACAGTGAGTCAGACCTGTAAGAGTGGGAAAGAAGTCCAAACCTAGAAAAAGTATATGCTGGGACAAACGTGAAGGCCAGTGTTGTGAGCACTGTTCCTCCCCAACAGCCGCTGGCGGTATTACTCTCTTTTATGTAATTTAAGTTGCAAATAGGGTTCAAGAGCCTTACTGATAAGAATATGTATCACGGCACATGCTACCTGTCAGCTGACTCATATCTCCTTCCCGTTCAAACACTTTCTGTGCTATTTTTTCTCTGTAACACATGAAACCTCATTATTGCAAAATCCAAACAATGTTCAAAGATATTTTTTTGGTTTTCCAGTCCATATCTATTCACACATTTTACAGTCGAGTGAAAACTGTTTAAAGTGCAATTCTGTCCTTCCAGTCGACATTCTTTCCATTCCAGTCCTGCTTCCTGCAGTTTCCTTGGGTGGCTTTTGCTTTGCACTGCAATTGTCTGAATTAATATGCAATGCTCTCAGTAGAAACTGGGTTTCCAAACAGAGTTTAAAACACAGCATCCCCCAAACAAGTATCTGAAGGCAGCAAGAAAAATTGAGCTTTGCCATCAGCTGACACCACTCCAAGAAGCTGAAGGATCATCCGGGAATCAGAGGACAGCACTGCTGACATCAAAGCACTTGACAGCTGAGCGATGGCTTACAAAGAGTTAACCATCTAAAGGTTGCAGTGAGTATTTTGGAGACAGCTCAGAAAAACAGAGCTGTAAACAGAAGCAAGTGCTCAGAAATAGAAGCTGGGGAGGTGGGCTGGATACAGAATTCTATGGGTAGCACAAGGACTCAAATACATGAATGAAGACATCTAAGGGCTGGAAGACCACAATCTGGAAGCAGTGGAGAGTGAGGAAGGGAAGTGAACATGCCAGGAATGGTGGAAATGGAGTAAGGGAACTGGGATTTATTAACAGGACTTTCCTAGTATGTGCATTACTCTCCCATTACACAGTATTTAGACCTTTGCTCAAGCAATTCAAACATACTCCAAGTTTTTGAACCCTTTATCAAGTTCATAGAAGTGTCTTGGAATCCTTGTGATAGGGAAGGCATTGGTGCCTCATGCAGCTCCCAGGGGCACTCTGTGGATTTTGCCACAAGACAAAGTAGAAAACATTAGGAGGGAAGTATATGGGGTTGTCGATATCCATGGCAAGCACTAGCCCTGGAAGAGCCCAGGATCTCTCATGCCCTCTCTCCAAGTCCAAATCCTGTCAGTGGAAACAAGGATTTCTTTCTCATCAGCTGGAAAATGCTTCTTTCATCCAAGCCAGGTTGTCACCGGGGTCTGTGTTCTGGCTGCATGCTGAGATGCTGCCTGGCACCTGCTCCTCAGCCTTAGTCTCTGCCCTCAGTGCTGGCAGTGTGTGAGCACACCCCAGCATAACTCCAGGAATCTTACAGCCGACACTGAACTATCACCAGAAGCAACAGCAATCTAGCTGCTGCAGTTCTGCTTTGTTTATGATGGGAATCATTTCTGCTTAGCCCCTTGATGGCTGGCTTCCACTGCAGCTCCCCCATGTGCTGACCATCTGTTAGGGCAGGTCTCTCCGTGCTCCATGTGGACAGACCACTCTCTTGGAGGATCCTGGTACATGGAGCTGGGGGACTGGCAGGTGGGCACACCACCTTGGCAGCTAAACTCCACTCCTCCCAAAGCTCTGAGCTGCAGAACCATGACAGAAAAGCAGTGCAACACTGGAACACTCATTTACAGGATGTATTTATTACACTGTAAAAAGTCTGTTCGATTTGTAGCCATTTACTCTGTATGTACACTGGTTGTACTCCCACCTCAACCATAGGTTCCTCTCAGTACAGTATACATGGGGTTGGGGTGCCACCCATGGCCCTCCCAGTCACCAGTGGGATTTCCAAGATTGGTATTATTGAGCACTTAGCCAACTAATGGAGAGAGGAGGAAGAATGGAAACACAGCACTTGCCAGGCAGCAGCTCTGCTCTGGGCACCAGGAGTGGATGAGTGGGACATCCTTGCTGCAGGGCTAAACCACTAGAATGACTACCAGAGCCTCAGATGCAGGGGTGTTCTAGGTGGAGAAGGTGGTGAGCTCCCAACAACTAGAAGATGCAGAAGGGTGCAGTCCCTGCAGAGCTTCCAAGGGAAAGCACTGCAGACTTACTGGGCATCTGTCAGCCAGTGCCACAGATCAACACATCCCTATCTGAAGAGGAAGTTCTCCTAAGGAATGGGGCTGGACACCAGGAGGCCTATGCAGCAGAGAGTGGTGGACAACTCAGCACTGCTGTGCACCCCAGGAGTGTGGCTCCTCAGGCACTGTTTGAGACATAGCCACAGTGCTCTACTCTCAGCTCATGGGACTCTGCATTTCCTTCTCATCTGCTCAGCTAGGTATAGCCTTCTGAATTTGCTCTCCAGCCAGAAAACCTGATTACATTTACAGCAGGGAAGAAAGCAGTGCTGCCCTTACCAGACTCCCTGGCTACCTACTCCCTATCTGGCATGGGGATTGCTGTTATCCATGTTGCACAAGGAAAGCATGTGGCTACAGACGACAAGAAGCCCTATGTAGTAAGCTGGGAGCTGCACTGTAAGCAATCCACATTTCTACACAAAATTCTCAACCTGCTGAACCCAGGCATGCACAGAGCCCAAACAAAGCAGTGTGACCAGAAATATGGGCAGGAAAGCTAGGGAATGCCTGGGGAATTGTCCAGGGACTGTACTGAATAATCTGAAAGGCAGTCCTGTATTGCAGCCCTCTCTAGTGTGACATCAAAGACTTTTCCCTCTTCACTAGATGAATTGGTGGCAGCTTGGTCCCAGGCTGCTAAGTGTGGGCATTGCCTGGCCCCTGAGATTTTGAAGACAGGAAGAAGACTGATCAGTGGAACTGGGCACCCATCCAATAGATTTCTACGCATATTTCTAGGTGGTTGCCACAAGAAGGGAGCAGAATGTGATGTGCTCCAGGGGGATTTGTGGCAGCAGCCCTTCTGCTCAGGTTAGCATCATCTTCTAAAACAAACATGCCCGCTACCAGAGAACATTTGACCAGCACCCTCCACCCACAGAGCTTCCTCAGCAGACAGTTCTCAGACATCCTCAAACTAATTGACTTCAGAGGTTGTCATGGGATCAGTGGGCCGTGGA